GCAAGATTGAACCCAAAGCTAAGCACTTCTCCCATTGCAAGAAAGATCAATCTAGTAGGCCAAACCAAACTGATAATTCAAAGAGACTTGCAAAGATAACAAATCATACATAAAAGATTTCAGAGAAGAATCAAATATTGTTCATAGATAAACTTGATCATAAACCCACAATTCATCTGATCTTGACAAATACACCGCAAAAAGAATTACATCGAATAGATATCCAAGAAGATCGAGGAGAACTTTGTATTGAGATCCAAAGAGAGAGAAGAAGCCATCTAGCTAATAACTATGGACCCGAAGGTTTGTGGTAAACTACTCACACATCATCGGAGAGGCTATGGTATTGATGTAGAAGCCCTCCGTGATCGATTCCCCCTCCGGCGGAGCTCCGGAAAAGGCCCCAAGATGGGATCTCTTGGTTACAGAAGGTTGCGGTGGTGGAAATAGGGTTTCGTGGTGCTCCTGGATGTAGGTCGGTGGAGCTGCGAGGGGCCCACGAGGGTGGGGGGCGCGCCTAGGGGGGCAGGCGCGCCTCCCTGCCTCTTGGCCTCCTCGCTCCTTTCTTGATGTCTACTCCAAGTCCCCTGTACCACGTTTGTTCCAAAAATAACTCTCCCGAAGGTTTCATTCCATTTGGATTCCATTTGATATTCCTTTTCTGCGAAACACTGAAATAGGCAAAAAACAGCAATTTGCACTGGGCCTTGGGTTAGTAGGTTAGTCCCAAAAATATTATAAAAGTGTATAATAAAGCCCATTAAACATCCAAAACAGATAATATAATAGCATGGAACAATCAAAAATTATAGATACATTGGAGACGTATCAGAGTCGGTCTACTAATCTTGGACGTGATGCCTATGTAATGATCATTGCATGGATATCGTGATGATTATTTGAAGTTCTATCAATTGCCCAACAGTAATTTGTTTACCCACCATTTGCTATTTTTCTCGAGAGAAGCCACTAGTGAAACCTACGGCCCCCGGGTCTCTTTCTCATATCATTTGCCTTTGTGATCTACTTTTCCTTTGCTTTTATTTTTAGATCTATTAAACCAAAAATACAAAAATACCTTGTTGCAATTCATTCTTATTTATTTTATTTGGCGTTCGATCTATCAATCTACTACAATTTTATTCACGCCCGTTTGCCCATCTTGGGGCGCCGCTACCCGAATGGGATTGACAATCCCTTTTACACGTCGGGTTGCGAGTATTTGTTATTTGTGTGCAGGGGCTATTTACGTTGTGTTGCTTGGTTCTCCTACTGGTTCGATAACCTTGGTTTCATATCTGAGGGAAATACCTACCACTGCTGTGCTAAATCATCCCTTCCTCTTTGGGGAAATACCGACGTAGCTTCAAGCCGCCATCAGTCAGGTCCTGAAGTAGGTCGTATGTGTAACCCGAAGCCGCTGACTCCTTGCCTCTATGGTGAGGGGGCGCGGGCCGTTGTTCGGCATAATTAGCCGTTTTGTCCCGTCCATGTGGTGGTCGGTCCTGTTGATCAGCCTGATTGTATTTTGACGGTATTGGCGCAAGGGCCTCATCATCGAATTGTGACAGTAGCCTGCATTTTGGATAACTCTCTGTCAAGCTCTCAAAGCCATATCCTTCTTCGGCGTCTAGGACCTTAGTCCATCTGTCATTGAGCATGTCCTGTTCGGCTTTAATCTGTTATTGTTTCTTTCTCAGGCTTTGTGCGGTGGCGATGAGCTGTCGCTTGAAGCATTCTTGTTCGAGGGGTTCTCTGGGACAATGAAATCTTCGTCACTGAGGCTGACATCCTCTTCGGAGACAGGTAAGTAGTTACTATCTTCTGAATCTTCGCAATCGGCGAATTCTTTGGGGTGAATTGACCCTCTTCCCTTTCATCCTGATCGAATGCAGGCTCCACGGGGTTTTGGGGGTCTTCGGCATTATCCGGAGTGTCATTGTCTCTGGTGCCGGTGTTGCTTTCCCTTTCTCGACACGATCGTGAGCGGCGCCGCTGACGCTGACGTTTTGGTGGTTCATCGACGGGCTTATCCTCATCTGGATCCTGAATGCCATCATCGTCCTTCCTCTCAGGGGTGTCCACCATGTATACATCGTAAGTAGAAGTGGTCGTCCAACGCCCGGTGATGGGCCGGTTTTGACCTGGTTCGGCTTCGACATCATCGTCCATGTCATCGATGTCTTCAGAAGTGTAGTCTAGCATGTCAGTTAAATCCTCGACAGTGGCTATTAAGTGGGTGGTGGGTGGGACGTAAAATTCCCCAGTCTCAGCCCCCCAGTTCGCACTGGGCGTAGTTCGGGGGTGACACCTCCGTGATGGCGAGATATTGCATTAGGTCCAAAGCCTCATTTAAGAGCGAGAGTTGGACGGGCGTCTAAGGATCTGCGGAGCTAGGTTTGGTGGTAACCGATTGACCGAGCCCGAAGGACGCAGACCTCAAGAGTTCAGAGTTGGTGCCCTGAGGCGAGTCCGACTTCCCGATGATGGGGAGAGTCCCATTTGATTCTGGGTCCGCCGATGAATTGCTCGCATCTGGGTCTCCGGCTAGAAGCTCCATGATGGAAGAGAGTCCGGCGGGGTTCACCCTCCCGTCTTCGGACGAAGTAGTCCGGCCCGGATCTAAGGCCGAGGCGGACACGAGCGTCGACCCTTGGGCGGGATCTGCTAGTAGAACCGAAGGGCCTCCTTCGTGTGGGTGGGGAGCGGCGGCCGAAACCGTGAACCCCTTGAAGATGAGGTCTCCTCGGATATCGGCAATGTAGTTCAAACTTCCAAACCCGATCTGATGACCAGGGGTGGAGCTGTCGACCTTCTCGAGGTGATCGGTCGAGTTGGCACATAGCACGAAGCCACCAAACACAAAGAGTTGACCAGGGAGAAAGGTCTCCCCGGAAACAGCGTCGTTGTTGATGACGAGGCGAGCCATCGATTCTTCTATTGACAAAACAAGAGAACTCCCAATGAAAGCACCAATGTCGGTGTCAAAACCGGCAGATGTCGGGTAGGGGGTCCCAAGTTGTGTGTCTGAGGATCGATGGTAACAAGGGACAATAGGGACACGATGTTTACCCAAGTTCGGGCCCTCTTAAAGGAGGTGAAACCCTGCATCCTACTTGATTATATTCGGTATGTGTATAGGGGTTACAAGAGTTGATCTACCTCGAGATTGTAATGGCTAAACCCTAGCTGTCTAGCCTATGGTTGTTCTGATAGCCTCTACGGACTAAACCCTCCGGTTTATATATACACAGGAGGGGCCTAGGGTTATACAGAGTCGGTTTACAAGGGAAGGAAATAATACATCTGGACACCAAACTTGTCGTCCACGCATATAGGAGTCCTATCCAGACACGGGGGATAGTCTTCTATTTTATCTTCATGGCCCATTAGTCTGGCCCATATCGAATAGACCGGACACCCGATGACCCCCTGGACTAGGACACCCTCAGCAGGTGACGGGCGTTGGTGTCAAGCTCAGAGATGTTCTGCTATCTTTTCAGTTTTGTCATGTCGGTCTTTACGTGACTTATACTTTGTTTTTTATGATATGAATGAGACGTATTACCATGCAAAACACACACACATAGAGATAGAGATTCATTTTGTGAGAGACAAGGTAGCTCCGAGAGGTATGTGTTCTTCATGTTCCAACCAACGCTCAGTTTGCTGGTATCTTCACCAAGGGGCTTTGAATGGCATCCTTCATCGACATTTGTGCAGTCTTAATGTTGGCGAGCCCGCCGTTGACACTGTGCGGGGGTGGGAGGGTATGGGGTGTACCACGATCGGCAACACTTATACCACGATCACCCACATTTTCCACTAGTCTTTAGACTTCGGTTGTACTCGGCTACTATATGTAATCCCTCCCTGTACTCTGAATCGACGAGGAGACCATTCTCTGAAATTACACTAATTAGGGTCACAACAGACGAGCCAGACCAGCGCCGGTGGGAGGCACAGGAAACCCTAGCAGATGGGTGTCCTCGTGTACGAGCGAAGGGGTATGAGCCTGGGTTGATTGCAAAATCATTGGTATACACTTTTTACAGGAAAGTGCTCTTCTGCTCTCAAGCTCAAATGCTCCCTGATGAACAGTAAAATAAAAATAGTAAAAAATACAAAAAAATGTAAATTTTTTTGTGGTAAATTTTGACAAATGTTTTATGCGCTTGACAAATTTCAGCATGAAAGGACATTCGTGGACGCCATGGAAAAAAAGAATCAACGCTCCAAAATGCTTTCAAAACTAGCATTTTTGGAGCATCGTTTGTTTTCACGACTTCCATGAATGTTATTTCTTGATAAATATTTGCAAGCCCACAAGACACTTGAGAATGTTTACCACAAAAATATTCAGATTTTTTTCATTTTATGTACTATTTTTAATTTAATTTTCATCAAGGAGCATTTGATCTTGGTATCAGATACTCCGTGTCCTTTTTACCTCATTTTCCTTTTTATTTTCATGTTTTTTTCATGTGTTTCACCAATGGAAGTGCCCTTGATGTATATTAGATACCGTTCATATTATTTTTATTCAGGGGTACATATGACCGCTCTATTACCTAACTTATTTGTTTGGGTATGAAAAGAAAAGATTAATAGAAGTATCTTTCTCATATTACATCGGACAGCACACCACCACATCCGCGCACATGTGCAACATTTTCTTGGCAGACTTGGCTAACTTGTGCCGAGATGGTTATGCCAGACTAGAGGCTAGCTAGGTGGTGTGCCTTGCCCGCAGAGCTACAAGATACTGACTCCTCCATCCATATCCTACAAGATACTGATTCCTCCTCTCCGGGCTACGGTTGATTGATAATCAAACCCCATTGCCTAACTAGGCACTAGCAGCCGTTAATCTCTTTGATGCCACATGCACGGATGTATATCCAATTTGCTATATATACACCCCGGCCGAGTTGTGTCTGCACAGAGCACTACAGAGGCAGAGAATCACGCAATTCAACCAAAGTGAGAGACCAAGAGAGATGGCGTCCAAGGCATTCCCTGCTCTGGTCCTTCTGGCGCTCGTCTGCGGCCAGCTTGTGGTCGACGGCCATGCCCAGCCCTACACCGGCGGCGGCCGCATCAGGGGAGGAGGATCTGCTCCCGGAATGCAGCCACCGACTTACCCCACTGCCCATGCCCACTCCTCCACCATTGGTAATCTACCTCTGTTGTTTCTCCGTTTGCTTGCCATTGATAAACCATTTCATTTTCCTGTCATTTCCCTGGTTCTGACTGTTGTTTGTTTGCATGGTCTGTGAATATGGCAGGAGAATACGATGGAGCTGGAAGGCCTTCAGCCGTGGAAGAAGACAAGGCCTTCATGGTCAACAGCCTGCCGGCGCACGACCGCCCGCTGCCTGTCCCGCCTACCGGTCACTAGTCCGTCGAGGCAACGCAGTCGAGCTTGAGATCAGCGGCCCAGTGGCCAGCACTAATAATAAGAATAAATTTGTGTGAAGTTGTCCTGTGGTGACTCTGTTTCTGTCATCAGGGGTGTAAAAGCAGAGTACACCGAACTACTAATAAAAGTACTGTTGAGAAAGTTGGGACTTCACAGTGGTTTCAAGAGAACATATATAAGTTTGTTCCGAAATTCCGTTTACATCTTACCATGAACATAATATGGATGTATCTAAATCGTGCATGAACGTTTTCGATCTTGCACTGTTGTAATTAAAACTGTACATGGTTGAAACTACGACGACGTCTCGAACGAAACGATCCTAATCACTAGTCCTTGAGTTAGGTAAAGACTGCAAGCATATCGCAAAAAGAAGAACCGATATATACATCCCGGTTCCTCACTTTTGGCCAGATACCGCAACCATCGATCTGTATCTAGAGGCAGAAATACAGCAGTACGTTATGTAAATAAACTAGTATTAGAGACATGCCGTGCGATAGTTTGCGTATTTTCTGTGCTGATCCATTTTAGCTAAGAATCATCATGTGAACATCGTAAATCTTTACATTTTGTGTACAGGCAGACAAGTTCTCAAGGAAAGACATACAATCTTAGTCATTTCTTATTATCAAAGTAGTAATTTAACGACTACTGAAACCATTGACGTAACAAGAAGTTGTTTTCACACACCCAAAAAAAAACAAGAAGTTGTTTTCAACATGTCGCAAGGTTTTTCCGGAAGGTCCCACTAGCCTTCATAAAGTAGGAAAATATTTGGTATGATAGTTGTTGAAAAGAAAAGAATGGCAGCTCTGTTATGACAGTATACAACATGGTGTAGCAGACCAAATTGCAAAAAATAAGGCCCTTTTTGATTAAGATATTTTTATGTGAATTTTGCAGAATTTCAACCCATATGGTTTTAACATGTCATCGCAGTCTAGATACTAAGGTTATGCTTCAAATAGGAGAATTCCAATCCCAAGTTCAGAATAATCAATAAATGTAAACAGTATTTTGGTTTGATCGGGTGATATGCCGTTACTTTGTTTTTCTAGCCATGTGTTCATGCGGTCCACCTGTGCTTTGAATTTTGTTTCCAAGAGAAAACGCAGACCTGCCCATTTGTTATCTTGATAGAGAGGGGATTCTCTAACTTCTACTTATATGCAACCCTGGTCTGTACATAGTACACAATAAACAAAAAAACTATGTATAGAGTAAAAAATGTGTCAAACAAATTAAGTTTACAGTATGGTTTGATCTAATATAATCTAATCAACAGCTGCATCCTCCAAATAGCATACAGTAAAAGTAGAAGACCTGTGGTAAAAAAAACTAAAAATGATGTAAAGAACTGAATGTACATAAACCATCTAGAAACAGCAGCGGCAATAACATCAGTACCAGGTCTGATAATTGCAATCGGTCACTAAAATAACATCAGTACCATGTAACTAATACTGAATACAATGATCACCAAGAGATACAAGACAATTGTTTTCACTAGTGAGTATATAATGTAGCAAGGGACACTCCAAACAGCCAGAGTGTTACCGAAAAGGCTTTCGCCCTGCTTTATAAATAAAGCAACCACCGAGCACAAATGTATCAAGGTTCCAACCACACAACACACACACACAGCCACCGCAAGCAGGTCCGACAAACACACACACAGACGAAACCCAGGTTCAACAGAGTGTTCACCCCAGTGAGCTCTTCAGCAAACATTTAGGCCAAGAATTGTAACCCGGTACATTATTTGCCCTAGTGGATATGTTGGGCATGCTATCAGAAAGGTGGTGGTGAGCCGCCTGGCCCAGGGAACCTTGGAGCAGGCAGAAACAACAGAGGTAGAAACTGCACAGAAACATTCTTCAGTTGCAGAGAATCAGAGATATCTGATTCAAACAGAGAGAAAAAAAACTTTGAGCAAAGAAAGCTAAACCACTAATGTACACCTCGCCACTTATACTATCTGGATGAATTGTTTCTTATTTTCCTTTTGAGATGTTAACTTAACAAACTGATGATTCCGGTGGAAAAAAATTGTGAATTCTCAATTTCCATTTGCTAACTGAGGATTCAACTTACCAGGATACAAAGAAGCCACCAAAGCCAGCCCCACAATAAGCAGAGCGAGTACCACCCAGAAATCGAGGGCCTCCCAAACCTGGTCCTCCAGGCCCATGAGGATCCATTCCACTACAGTTTCATATGAACTCAATCAATACACAATTTTTTCCCCAGAGAATATGCAAGACTTGATGCGACAGTACAAAGAAGAATCAGAAAAACTAAAATGGGCTTTAGCCATTAACTTGCAAACAAGAATCAGAAAATTTTAAATGTGTCTTCCTCCAGGCCATAACACCAGCATGTTACATGTCCCTCATGTCTTGCAAATTACCATGAAGGTCATTCAGTGTAGTCACATAAGACACAATGTTCTTTCATGTGAAGTCTTGCACATACAAAATTCAGGAGGCAGTTCCATGTTTATGTTGTGTTAGATTTCCATATTTATCTTGTGTTGTGGATCTATTTCGTTAGAAAAAAAACTGCAACTCCTAGTAGCATGCGTTTAATGATGTGCAGGCTGCAATGTTGGTCGACTCATCTGAAAAATACACTGGTTACTAAACCTTGTTCAAATAGTTTTGGACACAACTAGGTTACTACCAGTGTCAGTAGCTTGCCTGTATAGAACAGCTTCTACATTTATAGAACCACCCAAAGTGTCTTCTGCCCCTGTGGACTTAACCAACCTTAGGTTTCTTCCTCCTGGGCAAGTTTTCATTGCGTGTTTGAGTTCGATATTAGCAAGAGAAAAACAAGGCATGTTTCTGCATTTTTTTTCTACTCTGGTCGATAACAATCTGTGAACTATTAGTTTGTATTTGATTTCACACGCCGGCTTGTAAAAGTCACCAACAAGGTGCAACGTAGACTAGAGTCCTGAAAACGACATTCAGGTACTGAAATAACATTAGTGTCAGGTAAATAGGTAAGGCTGCATACAACGACCTCCGAGAGAAATATAACTAGGTGAAGAATGCATAGATGTACAGTAAGAACTAGTGCCTGTGCAACTACTACTCTGCAATGTTCGAACTACTATGCATCCTCAGCTTACTCTTACAGAACATTTGAGTTCAATGTGATTGGTTACAGATCGTTGAAAAATAGAGGATGTAAACTTGGACCAAACATCACCCAATACAGTTTAAGGTGAAGAGGCTTCTTGATCCATCGCCAGTTACACGTACCAGATCAATTAATCTGGATGATCACCTTACTTCTAAATTCTAAAGTAATCTACAGCTGTATTGCCACACAACAGGCCTGTGCTATCCTGCTCGAGACATGAACAAAAAATTATGGAACCTGGGCCTGACAATGACCAACATTTCTTGTGCTTATCCGTACAGGTTTTGCTTCTTCAACTTATGTTCAGATTGTGCATCACAAGAAGCACCAATCCTTAAATGTATAGCAGGATATAGGAAATAGTAAGAGGTCATTCCAAACAACATAATAGAAAAATAGTGTCCTGATGAAAGCACAAAATGGTATCCATAGATTTTTCAGATTACGGTACCAGTCATTCCTAGAAAATACTAAATCTCCTTGATTGAGACAAAGATAACCAGCTTAAAGTCTCCATAAGCTCTACCTGACCAGATGCAATGGATGCATGAAAAACAATGAATTACGAGAGAACATTTCATTGAGTAGTCGACTATGGTAAACTATTTAATTTAACTACTAGTACTCCAAGGTCTTCTAAAATATCAGATGCGGCATGCAAGTCAACAAATAATCTGCCTATGTTCATCATCAGTTTCAATGAAATGTAGAAACAGACTACCATGTTCTTACTATTGACTATTAAGAAGACCACTAGATAGAAATGGTAATGTCAATTCTTCAATTCAAGAAAAAGGGCACCACTAGTGAAGTCAATTCCTCAGCCAAGAAAATAGACACATTAGGCAAATTGGGTGGAAAATATTTCGAAAGCAGGGCAAAATAGTTTCAAAAGCAGAGCAAAGCATCAACATAACATCTTTCACTTCAGCCAAGGGAGACAAGCATATAACAGTCAGAGCTTCTGATCATAATTTATATACATCAATGAACAAAAAAGAAGAGGCCAACAGACACATGGTTGATCCAATTCATAGATATTGCAACCTATAAGGTGGGAACCGAGGCTGTTAAGAAGCACCACCTCACTCAACAGCCATCAGACTCAGAGGAAAGGCCAAGGTGTTCACAACATAACCTTCAAGAGCCGGAAAAAAGGTATGCTGAACAAGGCTTTGCTTGAGCCGACATTCATAAATATGGAGGTCTAGGAGACCACGACGGGTTGATGTGAAGCGCCCACTGACCACATAATTTTGCTGAACAAGGCTTTGCTTGTTCACAACATAATTTTGCCATGAGTATCGATGTGAAGCGCCCACTGACCAAAACTGACAAGCAAGAGCATACCACCATGCCTAGAAGCAGCAGCGTTCACACTCCAAAGTTTAACATCCCAAGAGTCATCACAACCTTCAAACCGCCCACTGATTTCTTCGACCGGCAATCTGATCCGGTACTTTAAGCTCCAAACCTCGCTCTCGTAGTTCTTCAACAACCATATACCAACAGTGTGGTTGTCATCATCATGGCAATAGATGGCGAGCGTGTCATCCATCTCAAAGATATATGACTTGGTGGGAACAATTAGAGCATGCATGTGCCGAAACGACTCAACTATGATGTCGTATACTATTATGGGCTTGCTTTCACTCAGGTGGTGATATAGTGGGTACCAATGTAGGCTATCACGCACCTGGACAG